TAACGCAGGGAAAGCATCGTTTGAAAAGAATATGAAAATCTGCTACAGAAACACCCTGGTGAAAGAGGGTGTGAGCATGTCCACGTCCTGGGATGGGCCTGGCACAGTGTAGGTTTTGTTATCACAACATGGTAGATGCAGGTAAGTGTCTTCTGGTTTCAGAGAATTAAAGCTCTGGTCGACAATGTGCAATGAGGTCTCCCAGCCACTGGAGGGCACCGTTACCATTCATTCACCTGACACCACATTTCCATAGAAATGGCCAAAGGAAGACCTTCCTGGGACTTTTCACAGAAAGCTAGAAAAGCTCGCCCTTGGACGGTATCCCTCAGCCCAGTAGAAAATACACAGGAAAAAAAAAAAACAATTATTAAAATACTGGCTTCGGTTTCTTTTTCTTTTCCTTTCAAGTTTCCTGCAATAGCTTCACCTATTTAAATACGAGCAGCACCTACCTTTCTACAGATGTGAACCAATTCAAACTCAGGTCTCAGGTACACACTCCAGTCCCAGACGGCCCTCTGGCATCTTTCCATTCAGATGGACTCAGTCCCTAAATTAGGAGTCAGCAATTTCCCACTGAAAAGTCACACCCCTGAAATTAAGGAATGGGGAAAACACTGCTTTTCTTACCGCTGAGCTGACTGCACCTCTAAAGCATTCATGCGGCATGACAAACGCGAATGCGCATGAGGCTCCAGCGGGATTAAGGTGGTGGTACCTGCACTGTCTCCTGGGAGAGAAGGCAGGTCCTTGTGAGCCTGCCAGAGAATGGCCGAGCGGTCGCCTTGCCTCCCCTCACCTGAGATCCAGCGAAGCATCTGCTGAGCACCTGCACCCCCGAAACTTCGATAAGGATCAGTGCCCATGTGGCCTGGGGTCCCTGCAGCTCCCCTGGAGTCTGCTCAGTCTCAAAACAGGGTTTCACAGCAATCTCTCTGGTTAGACTTGGTGCCAAAATCCCTGGTGGCTTTTTCCAAACTGGAAACTCGCTTGGGATTCGAGATGCAAGCTCAGGGGAAGGGAGATGGCACTCTCGGCCAGCAAAATATGGGAAAGGCAGGGCATGCGGACATCTTCACGGAGTGAGCAAGAGGGAACTCCTGCAACCGATGCTTCTCGACAATAATGTAAAATAACAAGGGTGACGATGGCCCTTTTTGGGATTTAAGGGGCCATAACAATGAACCAGCAAATCACTTAAAACCGCAACAGATCTAAGAGAGGGAAAGGTTAAAAAACCCACAAAGGCATGTGATGGTTTCTGCCGAGACTGGGTCGTGCAAAGGATTACAAAGGGCTGCACGTGGAAGTCCCCTGGATGTTCGTATGGCAGTGAGAAGCAGGGAGAAATAAACGGTGAATAGAGAAGACATCAATATCTTTGAGGAAAATCTAACTGAAAGGAAGAATACAAGCCTAGTTTTCCTATCTCCAGGGAGGCAGTAATTCCTACCCATTCTCCAACATCAGGCTCTGGAAAACCCCCTCCCACCGCTCACTGTCCCACTCTTCAGGGAACTTAGCCAGCAGCAGGCCACAGTGCCCTCTGCTGGTGTGCATGGTGGCTGCTTGGGCCCGTGTGCTCAGCTCAGCGCTGTCCCCTTCCCAGGCTCACTGGCCACTTCCCCTTAAGTCTGGCAAAGCATCTTAACACTGAAGCCCATGTGCTCAGTTACCAGTCAGACACTGCCCTTGCAGAAGAGATCAAGCCAACAACTCGCCTGCCTCCCTTCACTCATCACTGGCTTTGATCAATCTGAAAGTCAGTAGCTGCTAAAAGCAGCCCTCTGCCCACTTTAGCTTGCAAAGTGTGTGCTGCCTGGAGCATCTGACTCGTTCTCCAACGAAGTTTTCTTATTTTTTTGGCAAGGTTGGGAGGAAGCCTATGTTTGCCTCCCTGACAGGCTGGCCAGGCACCATGGACTCCTAACAGGGTTAGGCAAAATCTCTCTTGCACACACAGTTCTTTGAAGCAAAAGTCAACGCTTTCATCTTGACTACAAAGTGGTTCCAAGAACTCCAGCTGAAGGAAAAGATAAGATACAAATTGCCCCACGCTGCACCTAATTTTCGAGTCTCGTTAAGAAAGTAAAAAAACAAAAGTTTGGGTGTCTTTTGATCCATGGGTGGCATTTCAAGTGTGCAGAAACAAAAGGTCTTGGAAGAGATTCCTTTGCGCTGGAAAGTTCATCCTTCCTTTTGCCACCAGTTGTATGGAAGAGAAATTTGTCCACGACTTTACAGAATCCAAAAACGGCAAACCAAAGGGATTCAAAAAGCGTCCGTTACAAAGAGAGGCCCCATAACATCTATCTGAGAAGACTATATAAACCAGTGAGTAGATGTGGCACCTGGAGCTACTCGCTACGTCACCAAAAACAAAAACAAGAAACCTAATTCCGCGGGGTGACGGTATCTCTGGGAAACAGCTAACCAACCCAGACTGCCACCTGGAAGCAGTCTGTCTTTGCGACTGACGCGGGGCTGTGAACGCTTCTCCAGGCCGGCAGTGTCTTCTGTGGGTTCGGGTGCTGTTCGCTGTCCGGTCACAGGGAGAGGGGCAGAGCAAGGGGGCACCTGAGCTCCCCGCGGCCCACGTCTGCGGGGGGGACCCCCTCAGTCTATGGCTCCCGGGTGGATGCTGAGCACGGGGGGCTCCAGGCAAGTGGGGGAGTAGTTGAGGTGCGGCTCTTTGATCCACAACAGGGGCACCCCGTTCTTCCCGTCTGAGTTTTTGCTGGAGTTCCGGCTCTTGAAACGCACCAGCAGGATGGTGATGATGAGGATGCCGAAGATGGGGAACGGGTAGAAGAAGACGAAGTAGAAGAGCGCGTCGTTGGAGCAGATGACAGACTGCAGGGTGGAACCTGAAAGGGACCGCGAGGGGGACAAGACAGTGAGGGCCGGAGCCTGGACCGTGGTGGGCGCTCCCCGCGGATGTGACTCCCGCGCCCGCCCCCGTCTTCCCGTGTTCTGGGCTCGCAACAGCGCCTCCTTCAGTCCACAGCTGGAAGTTCAAACAAAACAGTCCCGTCCCCCGCTGCGAGCCAGAACCGCTGCTTGCAGAGCCACATACTAAAATATAGTTTGACTGTGAGCTTCATGACATCTAGGACCGTGAAGAAGCTGACTCGGGTCCCGCCTGAACCCCCCGCCCGGTTATTTTTTACATGTCACTTTGCATTTGGGTCTACTCCAAACGTCTTTTGCAAATACAACCCGTTCTGTCCCTGCCAGCTTCTGAGAGCAGTTTTACTAGAACCGATGCTCACCTGATTAACATTATCAGTTAAAACGTCATCGTGGACCATTTGCAAACGTCCCCAGTGTGTCTGTGTCTGTATACAGCACAGCACGGCTTACCCCTGGATATGGAGAGAATGAAACCCAGCGCCCTTGACCCAGTCGAGGATGGTGCCATGACTTAGGGGACCGTGGCAGGAGCCGGGCCTCTGGGTGCCTGCATTTTATCTGTGAAATAAGGTTGCCGGATGATCTCTGTGTTCCATGCAGCTTAATAAACATGGACGTGTGCAGTGGGCAGATAAACTGTGATCTAAACACGTCCCATACACTTCTGGGCAGTGGCTTGTAAAGCAGAGCATTTCGGGGCTGAGTATGACTCAGGATTTTTTCTCCTTTCCTTTCCACTCCAGAGCCGTTGTTCATGGGAATTATGGAGAAAATTCAACATACGCTTCTACTTATTAGATTTCCAAAGCATATGAAATTTCTGATAGGCAACTTTTGACCTACAGAACCTCAATTTCATCTGGCCCTATCTAACAAGCAGGAGGTAATCAAAGACAAGGAAAAGTTGACACAACTCAAAAACTCAAAATCGAATTTATCTGGTAAATTGTTTTAGAAGAAAAGAAGGTGAAATTTTCACCGATTGTTTTTATTTCTACTATTTATAGGCTAATTAATCCTACTCTAACACAGACCTTCTTTAGTCTGATATACTCCACACTTTGACAGAAGGCCAACCAAAAGAGTGCCTCGTTAGAATAATTCGGGTCAACAAGTGTTTCCTCTGGTCTCTGCTCACACAGCCCCTCAGTAGGAGGAAGCCTCTGAGATCCCTCTGGACCGCCTGCGGCAACAGCTGGTGGCAAGCGGGGCTGCTGAAAAGCTCCTCCCAGATGCCTCGTGACATCACTGCCCTTCTAGGCCATTCCGCCTAAACCTCCAAGTCACCCTCCGATATAAAAAATGACCTGGAGTCTATGGCCATGCCACCCTGAACAAGCCCGATCCCATCTGATCTCGGAAGCTAAGCAGGGTCGGGCCTGGTTAGTACTTGGATGGGAGACCATCTAGGAAGACCAGGTGCCATAGGTGTAAAAAATAAAAAATAAGAGATTGTAAGCTGACAAGGTCCTTGCGATCTGTGAAGTCAACCAAGGGTTGCCTCGCCTAAAACATAAAAATAAAATAAAAAAACAAAATAAAATAAAAATTAAAAATTAAAAATGACCTGGGAACTTGAGAAAATGTGACAGTGAAGTACTCGGGCTTCATTTTTTCCTTCCTCTTATGAATCTGAAGCACTCGTTATTCCACTAAAGAGAGGCTAGGCGGATATTCCTAAGGGCAACAAAGTAACATCTAATGATACATTCCTACTAAATCATACTAAACTAAAATCTGGTGGAGCCCAGGTTTTTTTTAAAGACTAGATGGTATGTTGCCACTTTAATTCCTACCCCTATTTTTTGGCATCGGCGATCGAGGGCCCATGATGTGAACTGGTGTAGGTTCCTAAATGCCAGTGACAGGTAAGACCGCTTATGAGTCCATATTCAAGCTGGGATTTTTATCCTCCAGACACAGCTGCCATCGGCCGTGCCCTCCTTCCCCTGTGAGTTGGGAAAACTTACTTGTGTCCAGAACGTGGATGCTGACGGGGGCCGACTCCTCCTCCACCAGCCGGTACCACCCCTTCTGCGGGCTGGGCAGCCACTCCTCCACACGGCAGGAGTAGTTGCCCGTGTCCTGGGGACTGGCCTGCAGCACCGAGAGGCGGTAGAGCAGTGGGGACAGCCTCTGGAAGCGAAGCCTGCCCTCCCAGGGCCTGCCCTCCGGGCCAAACACCGCGTCCGGGCCCACGCTCAGCAGGACCGTCCGCTCTGTGGGGTCTTCTTCCTCCTCTCCCTCCTCGTCCTCGTCCTCATCCTCCTGCTCCTCCAGGCCGGGGCTGCCTCTTTTCCCTCCAGTCTTGGTCCGCAGGGAAAACCAGGCCACAGCAAAACGGGACTCCTGGCTGGAGCGAGACACGACACTGCAGTCCAGCTGGAAAGCCGCCCTCTCGGACACCGTGGCGTTGGGGACCACCGTGTCCACCTGCAGGGCAGCATCTGGGAGGACAAGGGACAAAGAAGGGAGAAGGGCTGTTTACATTTCTTTGCTCGAAACAATCTCGACGTCCATCACTAAATACGTTCGTCATAGCCGCGCACCCACTGGAAGGAAGGAGGAGCTGCTACGCACACAGACGGGAAGGAGGGTCGAGACGAGGCAGCAGAGCAGACACGCAGCGCACTCCGCGTCATCACCGCGCGCGGAAGGAACGCTTTATTCCCGAGAAGGTCTGTCTGTATTTGCATAAAACGCCTGTGGAAGAATTTACGAGGAGCTGGTAACATGGCTGCTTATGGGAATCCGGGGAGGGAGGGACACTTATTTCTACTGTAACCCCTTGTAGTGGTTGAACAGTGTTCCCCTCACCCCCGCCCCATATTCACATCCACCTGGAACCTCGGAATGTGACCTTAATTGGAAATAGGGTCTGTACCGATTGAATTAAAGATGAGCCCTAAGTCCAATAACTTCTTCCTTTATGTGTCACAGAGACACATGGAGAGCAGAGCGGGTGAAGGCGAAGGCAGCTGGAGCGATACAGCTACAAACTAGGGGACACTTGCAGCCACGAGCAGCTGGAAGAGGTAAAGACGGTTCCTTCCCTAGAAACTTCGAGGGGAGTTTCGGCCCTGAGGACACCTTGATCTCAGACTTCCGACCACGAACAGCCTCAGAGAGGTGAGTCACACCTCGCAGACACCACCTGCTTTTTTTCAGTGGCTCACTGGGGTGGCTCCTCAAAGGCGTCCCTTTGGCTCTGTTAACGAAATGCTCATGAAAGATGCCAACCTAACGTCGACAGAAGTAGACACCAAATCAGATTCTGCTGGGATGGAGACCAGCTCGGACCCCTTCCCAAGCACCGTCCTGGGCTTTCGATGCATCGGCTTAATGTCGCTTGCAGGTGAACACAAAGCTGGGTTTCCACCGCTTTTGTGGGGCTCCGCCAGGCTCCGGCACCCTCCCCTCGGCCCATCTGGAATCTCGCCGTGCACTGCTGGCACACCTGGGCGCAGGAACTGGCTGCAGGTGGTGGGCACGATGCGTCATCCCAGCCCTCACGGGGGAGAGAATGCGCCACGGGGCAGAAAGTGGCAGAAGGGAGAATATGAAAGCATTGCCCGGGCGGCGCGAATCCCGTCGCTCATTGGGTTCTCCTTCCTGAGGGCTGACGTGCAACCCCAAAGCCAGAGAGAGAAATACTGCAGAGCAAGGCAGGTCCAGGGTGCCTTTCCCTCCAGAGCCTAACAGTGTCCTAAAGCTCCTGGAGACCTGCCAAGGCATCAGAGGAGGTGGCCCTGGGTAACATCATGCAGTGGACCCATAGCAAGGAGGTCAGAGACCAGAGGACATTCAGTTCCCCAGAAGTGCCTGTTCCCCATCTACCCTCCCTTCGCTGTCTCCTTATCTCAATGCTTACAGTTTTTCCTGGCCTGTTCAAGTGCCTTTTCTGCATCAGTGACTCAATACGAGGTTTTTGAATGAAATTAATTTTCACTGTCATCCAATACCCCCTTCCCTTAATACGCCTCTCTACCGATTTGGTTCCCCATGTCTGACTCCTTCTAGCACATTCAGACCCCCCCGTTCAGATGTCAGCAAGTGCTCCTCGTCCAGGTGTGAACCACAAGGCAGAAGCTCGGCTCATCTCCGGAGACCCCTCTCTCCGCATCATGCTGGCTGCTCCCCCGGCTGTGGCCTCGACCACCGATTCCGGGTTTGAGTCTGACAACTGTGGCTTTTCCTCTTCCGCAGTCGTGGGGGCCAAACGCAACTACAAAACTCCTCAGCTCCCATCTCGCTGAGGGCGGGAGTGCTTCGTTGCACATAGTTCAGACTACGGTGGACCCTAAGCAACGCTAGGTGATTCCTAACACCGTTAACTCTTGGAGTTATGTTATTCCCAGTCTTCTATACGTCCAACTCGGACCTCACAAAAGAATCTTTCAGCTACACGATGAATGGTATGCGACCAGTGAAAACGGCGATTACGAAATGCTTTCAGCGACATGGAGGATCCCTTGTAGCTCCCTACAAACTCGAGCATCGGCTTTTCCATTCCTGAAAGAGAGAGAGAGAGAGAGAGAGAGAGAGAGAGAGAGAGGGAGAGAGAGAGAGAGAGAGAGAGAGAGACAGAAGGAATCTGAAGATATGTAGGTAGTAAGATTAAATATAACTTTTCTAAACTATACTTTCCGTTTTCCAAATATTTTGTAACAAGCACGATCAACTTACATACAGTCACGCACCACGTAACAAAACTTCAGTCGACAAAAGCCTGCGTGTGACGGTGACCCTGTAAGATTATAATGGAGCTGGAATTTTCCTATTGCCTAGTGACGGTGCAGCCTTCCCAGAGCCACAGCACCGAGCATCCCTCGTGTGTCTGTGGTGATGTTGGCGGAAACCAACCAATGTGCTGCCAGCTGTGTAGAAAGCAGCCCACACGACGATGCACAGTAGGTAGCACCTACCAGTGAAAATCGACCACTTTGTTACTGGTTTACGTACTTTCTATACTATACTTTTCATCGTTACTTTGGAGTGTACTCTTTCGAGTTATAATTTTTAGGGAAGTTTGCTGTAAAACAGTAAGCAGTGTTACCCTGGCAGCAGCGTGGAGCCACGTCGTGCTCACCACGTGTCCTGACTGCATCGTTCTCTCTTGTGCTGGACTGAATCTCACGTTGTTTCGAACAGCAACGTGCACAGGCTCGTGGCCTGGGAGCGACAGGGTGTCTAGGTTTGTGTGAGTGCACACGATGATGTCCAAGCGAGGACAGTGTCGCCTAAGGACGCACTTCTCTGAAAGTCTCCCCATCGCTAAGCAATGCATGACTGTAACTGGAAAGGAAGGAAAGAAGGAAGGAAGGTCGGCTGATCCAGGCTATTCCTGTGGTTGAACTCGAGACGCAGGGCTACAGGTTAGGGTCACGGTGGAAGCACACACGGTGCAGCAGGAAGGAAGGATGGGGGCACCGCGGTCTGCTCTTCCTGGCTGGGTGACACTGCTCCTCAGGCTTCAGTTCCCTCATCAGTAACATGGACCACTGGGGCTGTCGGGGCTACGTAAAAGTGGCCTGACCGGCTGGGCTGCAGCTGGCCCTCCAGAAACGCGTCTCCTCCCACTGCACCTGGGGCCTCGGCGTAGCCATCTGCAAACTGGGTGGGAGCTGGGGGGCGAGGGGGTGTTCGGCCGCCACGTCTCTATGATTTCACTTCTGGGAAAGGACAAGCAGCGGTTTCAAGGCAAAGTAAAAGGAAGGAAAAAAGCTCATGGGAAATGTGAGTCAGAGGAGAGGCGAATTCCCCTCCGGCTCAGGGAAGACACGGGGGAGTGAGATAATGTCCTTCTCTTGGAACGGAGTTAATTTGGTCTCTGAAGTGTGTTCCATGACGTGTGGGGCCAGCACAACTGCGACGCGGCTGTGTGTTCCGCAAACAGAACGAGCTGCTCCCCTCGGACGCGAAGATGTGATGAAAGCCTCCGACGGCCCCCGCGGCCACACGCAGGGACACTGCGATGCTCAGGAAGCCACCGAGACGAAGCGTTCACGGCGACAGAGGTCGCCGATCCAT